CATCAAGGTGGCATTATATCCTCTCGTTGTAGGGGTGGCTCATATTGTGGAAGTGGTAGAGAGTCAGACAGTTCTCTCATCTCTTCTCTAGCTTACTGGGCAGAGATGAGTCTCTCTAAAATCTCGAAACACCGATTGACTTCCTCTCGAAGCGACCCATCTTGGGGTGCTCTCTTTAGTAAGGGACCTCATCTCCTCGTGTCTTTGTATTTATTTTTGACAAGGAAGGGTTGGACGATAGTTCGTATTTGATGTTTTTAATTCTTTGTATAAAGAATGGTTCCGAGGAATGCAGCTCTGATACCAAACGTAAAGGCCCGAAACTTAAAAAATAATAAAATCATAAATTAAATGTGGGCAGCGAAATAATAGAGTTTAGAGTTTACATTCATTACACAATAATTAGAATGCCCAATAGGGCTGTGAGAATGTCCTTCTAAAAAACAAACAAATTTAAAGAAATAAACAAAAGGCAAATAACTGAGCATTCTAGGATGACTTAACTAGTTTTAAAGGGAGTCGGGGTAGTGAACTATTCACAACCCTCTTGTTGATCAGAATTTGGGTCTTGGTACTCTTGATATGAAATAGTTAATGAAAGAGTGAGCTACACTAGCCCAGTAAGAATATCACACTACTCACCGATACAGAAACTGAAGGTTGATTGTAAAGACCCTGAACTTAAAAGGAAAGTTATAAATTAAGTGCGAAAGCAAAATAATAGAGTTTAAGGTTTACATTTCTTACACAATAATTTAGAATGTCCAACAGGGTTATGAAAATGACTCTTCTAAAAGAACAAATAAAAATTAAGAAAATAAATAAAAGGCAATATACTGAGCATTTTAGCACGACCTTCACTAGCTTTTGAAATGAGTCCGGGTGGTGAACTATTCATAAACCTCTTGTTGATTAGGATCTAGGTCTTGGTCCTCTTGATCTGAAATAGTTAATGAAATGGTGAGTTATACTAACTCTGTAAGAATATCACAATACTCACCGATACAGAAACTGAAGGTTGGTCAAAATCATAAAAACAACCAATGAAGCTCTTGATTTAAGTAAATTCATTTATCATAAGAAAAATTATTTATTACATATATTTACTGTTGTGAGATTTTCAAAATCGATCTATAGAGATAATAACTCAAATAACATCCTAATCTCATTTTCAAGTGAGTTATAACAATAACTTTTAATTTTTATTTGCCTACTGATATCTTTGGAGGCCCATAGGGATATCCCACTATGTGTGAACCAATATCCAACTTTGTCAACTAACTGACCGTCCCTATACCCCGTGTGCTATGAGCGCCAAAAATACCATCCATCAATACCCCATATGGTATAAGGGTGAATCGAGTCTTCTTCATACTCCGTTCGGTATGAGCACCAAAAATACGATTCCTCGATACCCCATTCAGTATGAGGCAACATTCACAATAGGGTTCCCTATGTACCCAGTCTGTCCACCATCTCTAAAGATATCTAGTAAGACTACCATTCATTAATTCACATGACCAAATAATTTTTCGTTCGTATATTAATTACCAATTTCACAAATCAACCGTAAATTACACAAAACAAGCAATATATATATATATATCAAAGAAGCACAATTGAATCATTCAACTATTCCAGTATATTATCATGTATTTAGAGTTGTAAATTTAACAATCAGCCAAACAGGACAACAACAAAATGACTAACCGATTTTCGGCTCCATTGGTAACCTGTAATTATTCTCAAGGTTTTTAAATTACATAAAATACCATAGTACCGATTATTAAGCTTCAATTCTATAACAGAGAATAAGGTGAGAGATTTTTATCTGAATCGGTTAAAAATACTGAACTTTCTACTGCGCTTACTGGCGGTCTCTAGGTTTCCTGAATTTTTCTGCGGAGGTTAAAACATACTTCACATACCTAAAAATACCCCCAAAACTAAAAATTAGTGTTAAAAATCCTTTTATAGCCAATTTTTGGATTTCGGCACGTTGGCGCCACTGTGCTCCAGCGACAGCACCACCGTCTACGTTGGTAGTTTGCCTCGGCCTGGCCATTTTTGGCTAGTTTTATATTAATCCCTGCAAGAAAACATGTTAGGGGACCTTGGTTAGCCCAAAAAAATAAAAAAACAGAAACCTACCGGTGGTGGAATTTTTTTGGTGCGGCGGCTCCGCCGGCTCATCTTTGCGGCTGGCCTTTTTCTTTGGTCAACATGTAAAAAACAGAACAGTGAACATAACAGTAGAAAAATTGCATGAAACAGGAAACAGAAAGAGGTTAATCGGAGGCAGTTGTGGGTTTTGCTCGTGGCGGCGCCGTTGGGCTTTTCCTGTGGTTTCTGGCTCACCCGCCGTTTGTTTTTCTCCGATTGGCCATGAGGTTGCTTATAATCAAATTTCGAGCAGATAGAAGAATTTTTACCTTTTTTGGCAGTAGAAGGTGGCTCTGGCGCGACGATGAGTTGCAGTCGACTTCCTTCTCCAATGGGAGGCTGGCGGCTAAGGTTTAGGTTCGATGTAATGCAAAATATTATATCTGCCTTGCATTAATCTGGATCGTTCATTGTGTTTGATTTCGACCGCTCGATCACGTTTAAAAAAAATGAATCTAGACCGTTCATTGAAATTTGATCTCGACCATCCGATCGCGTTTAAAGAGGGAACGAATCTAAACCGTTCATCTCGTCTAATCACGACCATTTGATCGCACCTGAAGAGGGAACGTATCTGGATCGTCCACGCGTAGGGGAACACTTCTAGATCGTTCGATCGCATGCACGTAGATCGCTAGCGTGGCCTCCCGCGTGGCACCAAGTTAGCGTGCCTTGCCACGCGGCACGCTCTGGTTCGTCGAGGCTGCTGACTGGGCGGTCCTACGTGGCAAAATTTTTCTTAATTCCGTTCTGACTCTAAATTTCTAATTTCTTTTAAAAACATTTTTCGAACCCAAATTTTCACAACTTTTTTCCAAAATTATTTTTAATTTCATTCTCAACTTATTTTTTCTATAATTCTACATTAAATTAAAATTTATTAACTTTAAAAATAGATTTTTATATATTTTTTAACGCTAAAATTAATGCCGAACCAAATTCTGAACTCGCCGGGTATTAGACTAAGGCTCCAACCTTTGGCTAGGGCCTTGAGCTCGGGCCCATGCCTTGAGTCTTGGGCTCAGATTTAGATCATGACCTTGGGCTCGGAAACGTGTTTGTGTCTTGGGCGCAGACCCTGATTTTGGTATCCGGCTCAGACATGGATCCTAAATTTTGGGCTCGAATCCAGATCCGGGCCTTAGGCACGGACCCTCATCTAGGCCTTTCGTCTCGGACCCGTATCCGAGCTTTGGTATGAACCCAAATTCGAGCATGGACTCCGACACAGGCTCGGGCCTTCGTCTTGGACTAAAAACCCAGGCCTTGGGAGTTTGCTTGGGCTCATACCCCAGCTTTTGGATCGGGCCTGAGCTCATACCTGGACCCTGGCCCTTAGTCTCAGACCAAGTCTCATTCCTTGGTCTCGGACCTAATTTTGGGCCTTAGGCACAAAGTCGGGCTTGAGCCTTGTGTTAGGCTCCAACCTTAGTTTCGAGCCTTGGGCGGGCCTTGGTCCTTGAGCCTTGGGCCGAGTGTTGGGTTTTTCGCACGTGGTCCTTGTGCTCGGGGCTTTGGGTATGGTCCTCAGGTCGGGTCTCGTGTTTTGTGTTCTTTGGGTCTTGGGCTCGGGCTCGGGCCTGATGTCTTGAGCCTTGGGTTGTGGCTCGATGTTTGAGCATCGATTATTTGAAATGCAACGTGGATAATTTATTTTCTGTATGTGGAGGGGATGCTTCTTTTAGTGCGGCCATTAGGAATTCAGAGGGTCAGGTTATGAGAGCATTTTTAGGGAGACTTCTAAACTGCCGGACACCCTATCAGATTGAATTAATAGGTTGCCGTCAAACACTACGTTATATTGTTTTTAATGTCTAGGGCCTTAAAAAACTCAATTTTTTTGTGACTAATTTGATAAATTTATACACTATCTTATATTAAAACTTAGTTATTTTTTTTAAAAAAATAATTTAAAGCTAAATTGGGTAAGATTTTTGTTATTAAAAGGTATAAATGTAGGGAAAGACTAACTAAATATAAAATATATTATTGTTATATAATATTTTATAATTTTAACATTTATTATTAATTTTGTAATATAACTAATTGACTAAAATATTAAATTTATATTAAAATCACTTATTTTTATAATTTTCCATATTATTTTAAACTGAAAATTATTTTTATTAAAAAAATATTTTCGTAACACTTTTAAAAACTCACAATACAAATAACTATTAATCCAACTAAACTAACTCAAACACATTTTCACATATATCTTTTAAGTGTTGTACATAATCCAATCTAAATTGAAAACTCTAACGAGAACCCATTGTTCGGTATTGATCAAACCGGACTAAATTATGTAAAGTCTAGTCTTCAATCCAATAAATTTGAACCGGAAATAAAAATAAGGAAAAAAAAAAAACTCATCTATGTTGTAAAATATCCAATAAAAAAGAAACCCCAAGCAAATATTTCATTTTTCTCTCCCTCAACTTTGATCTTTTTCTTTTTATTTATTTGAACTTTGAAGCTTTTTAAGCCCATCACCCACACCCGGAACTAGGTCTTTCGCACCCTTGTCGTCTCACTGTTAAGAGGTTCTTCATGTAGCCATGGTGGTAAGGTAGCATGTCTTAATTGCATCACCTCTTTTCGGGACTCCCTCCTAATATGCACATCTCGAGCTACACCGTGCAGCACCAAACACAATACGGACACGCAGACCAATTTTTACTTGCCTAAAAACTATAAGATATTAAGGTTAAAGATTTTTTATTAGAAAATTCTATATAATATTTATTTTCTCCAAAAACACGTGTACTGCATCTGCTAGCTGGCAAAAAAACAAACGAGCCTTATCCTTTCTTATTCACAGCATATTGGGCGCCATTTCCATTATCGTTTATTTCAGACCGCAAGAACAGAGCGGATCCAGCCCCCAAATCCAAAAATGTACCTAACGCCACCCAATCGCATTTCTTCCCCTCCTCCCTTTCTCCCTTCGATTTCTCGAAATACCTTCACCCGGTTCTTAAGCCCGAGTTTGAAATCACTTGACCAAACTCGGCCGACTCGGTTATGCAAAGCGAGTCTGATCACCAGTCCTGATTCGTTCGAAGTTGGTCGACTTATTGGCAACTACGGCTTCATGAATATTACGAGGTAAAACTTCATATTTCAACAAAATTTGCACTATTGCTCGGAGTTTCTCTCTCCCGTCTGTTTGGTTCGCGAGAAAAGATGATCGAATTTCTGTTTGTTTTAGTCGCGTAGCGTCGTTTCTCCCGTATTATATTCTCTTGGAAGCCACACTGGATTTCTAACCGGTTCGTATTAGTACTTAACTCTGGTCTAGTAGATCTTGGTTGAGCCACTTGGCGGTTTTATTAAAGTTCAGTGAAGTGATTCTGAAACAACAGAAGAGCGGGTTCTCTGTATTTTACAATGAAAGAAAAGAAAGAAACAAACGAAGTTTGGTTTTTGCTTGTTATTTTTTAAGTTTATATGAATTTCTTTCACAAAAAGATTCGAGTTAAGTTGATAATGAAGAGAGCAGTGGTGAAAATTTTAAATGATGTCTTTAGTGGTTAAAATGATGTTTTATTGTTTTATAAATATACAATTCTTACAAGATATTTTCATGGACAAACAAATGCAGAAACGCATAAGAATTTAGAAAATAAAAATTATCAACGTTTCCATGTACCATATGGAGCCTTGAATGTTGTGATTTTGTTTGGAAAAGAGTTACTAGGATATTTTTTCTGTTTCTAAATAAATTTTACAAGAAATTCATTGATAAAATATACTTTAATGTCTGAAAATCATGAAAGTTTATTACACTTCATAAAATTCAGTTGGATGACTAAACAAGAGGCATTTCAAATATTTGCTCCACAAGATTTTAAATACATTACATATTTAGTCACATTTGCTATAATTGGATTCATTTCTCAAATACCATGTTTGATCCTTTTCAAAACGAATATATAGCTCCTGACAATTCTAAAACAGAAAATGTGAATTTGTAAATGAATTCCAAGCTTTGTATTTTATTGCTTACCTTTCAATCTTCTGCAACTCAATTAATAATTTTATTTTCCCTTTTATTTTATCCCTAGCTATTCAGGGTTTCAATCCAGTCCAGACAGTGAATATTCATCAGAAGATATTGGGCGATGGACACTTCAAGATGTTGGAGAAGGCAGTGTAAAGATCAGGTGAGTTTTTGTGGATATAAATATGACTAGGTGGGCTATGACCTCATTGATCATGTTAATGGAAATTGTAGAGTTGTTATTGTTCTTGATACTGATACTATCCATGGCAGTTTGCTCGTAGGCTTTATGAAGGAAGAGTAGCCCAGGGTCCTCTTAAAGGGACTTCAGTTATTTTCAAGGTGATTTTTCATTCTTTCTTATTTGTTTTTACAGTTTTAAAGCCAAGGTAGTTTTTGTGTGGAGCAGATAATATTCATCTGGTATACTGAAGAAAGCTGGTGCTTTATTATGGTAAATGCATTTGGGCAATATCGAACTATGTGAGCAACTGATTCTTTAGCTTAAATTTGTATAACTCCTTAGAGGTTTTGGGCCATCTGAATGGTTCTTTTCCAGCTGATGCTTCTTGGGAGTTGGTTTCGCATATGTTGGCTCGATAGCTGATGTTTGGCTTGAGGACAAGCGCCTTTAGGAGGCAGGGAGGAATATTATGGCCCTGTTGAGAGTCAAATCCAATTGTTAAGGGAGAAGAAAAAGAGTAAAAGAAGAAGCTAAATGTTACTTGTAAGGAATGGGGAGAATGGAATGACTACCTATAATAAAGCATAGGCAAATGTGAGCCGACCAGAAGAAGCAAGGCTCTGATTACCAAATCCTGGACACAATCTTCCGTCAGATGGGGAGCCGTTTACCTTACCTTTCCTAGCCTCCCCTTCTTGCTTGCTTATCTAGCTCTTCTCTTAGTGACTCTTCCTCTTTTCTAGGTTTTTGTTTTTTTTGTCTGTGTTAAGAAGGTAGGTTTTTCATTTGCCAATGAATTGCCCGATTCAATCAATGGTGGGATTCTTGGCTATATGGTTCTATAAATAAACCAAGCTGGAGCCTAAGTAAGTATTCAAATCAAGCTTCGAGTGAAATTCAAGCTCAGCTTCTTTTGTTCCTACCCTTATTTGTAAGTTGTGTATTCTGTCAAGATAGTATATTGCCAGATGTAACAAGTTAGATGTTTGTTAGTTTGGTATTCTCTCAGATTAGTTTACTGCCAAATGTCACTTCAGACAGGTTCATCATCTTTGAATTTTTACTGGTTGCTTTTTTAGGCTAGTTAGTTTCTAGTCTAGGCAAGATGTTTCTCTTTTCCTGTAAGAAGGAAAGTTCTCTGTAAGGAAGATGGAAGGGCAGTGGAGAATTAAAGAGTTCTTTTGATGATTTATTTTGCCTTGTTGGTTTCATAATCTTGTGGAATCTATAATTTTGGTTTAACTTTCAATTGTCTCATGGGGATTAAGATAAGGCTGGAATTTTTGAAGATTTTGAGGAGCATCTCCAAGCCTTTCATATCCTGATACTTTTTTTTTTTATATATATTAAAAAAAGTATTAATACGAGAAAGAAAGAGAAATATAATCATGGAGAATATTTCTGATCCTAATACTTGGTCTCTTTAAAGCTCAAAGATTGAGCTCATATGTTCGGGAAAACGATGAAGACTGAAGAACTAAAACTGGAATAGTTTTAGAATTAAAAAGATCTATGTAATAATTATCTTTATTATTAGTTTAAATTTGCTTCACTTATTTAGGTAGGTTTTACTTTATTAGAATTTAGAAATTGTAGATTTCCTTTTTTTTACTGCAATATTTTCTTCTTAGTTGTAATTAGTGCACGTGTAAAGGCCCATTAACTGTCAAGAAATTTTTGTGCTAGAATTTATTCTTGTCATTTCTCTCTTGTTTTTCCCCTCTAATTATTGTTTTTTTTTTTCTCACCTTTCATGTTCTGTCTCTTTCTTTACCTAGACTTCACCTTAACGCCTAATTTCATATGGTTACCGTTCATCTGTTTTCTCATCTATGTTCTTCTAATTTCTAAGCTATCCTTGGGCTAGTTATTTTGAAACCTACTTCTATGTCAAAATATTATTTTGTTTTTAAGTCAAGAGGAATATTGTGAGATTTACATGCTAAAATGCTCATGTTGTGCGATCAAGGCATGAAGCTCTATTGTCTCTCATGCATTTTCTTTTTCATTGCTTTTAATTCTAGTGTCTCTTCCTTTTATGCAGTTGAGAAGTATCATTGCTTACCCAAGGAATCTTGTTTCTTCTCATGCGATTGATTTGTTATGCTAGAAAAATTTTGTTTCAGGCGCATTTAGTATTTACTTGTCTGATGGATACCTAACTGGAACTGTAACAACTCGGAACTAGAAAAGAAATAAATTATAAATTGAATGCAGAAGCGAAATAATGGCGTTAGAATTTATATTTCTTACACCGAGGGTTACGTGAATGATCCTTTTAAAAAAATAACGAAAAATCAAAGAAATAAATAGAAAATAAATAACTGAACATCCTATTCGCAATTCTCTTGTGGATCGGGATCTAGAAATAGTTAATAAAAAAGAGAAGTACACTAGCTCAGTAAGAATGTCACACTACTCACCGATATAGAAATGAAGGTTGGTAAAAATTATGAAAACAACTAATGGAGCTCTTAATTTAAAAAAATTCATTTATCATAAATAAAATTATTTATTGTACACTTACTATAACGAAATTCCAAAACTGATCTATTGAGACAATAACACAAATAATATCATATTCAATTAATCAGAACAACTTTCTTTTTTTATTTGACTACTGGTATCCATGGGGGTACATAAGGATGTCCCCACTATGTATGAACCCTTATTCAACATTGTTAACTAACCAGCCGTCCCCATTCCCTGTCCGGTATGAGTGCCAAAAATACCATCCCTCAATATCCTGTCCGGTATGAAAGTGAAATGAGCCGTCCCCATATCTCGTCCGGTATGAGTACCAAAATACTAATTCTCGATACTCCGTCCGGTATGAGACAATGTTTACGGTAGGGTTCCCTATGCACCCGGTCCGTCCACCACCTCTCAGGATATCTCGTAAGATTACCATTCATTTATTCACTTGATCAAACAATTTTCTATTTACATTTAATTTTTAGTTTCACAATTTAAGTGTAAATCACGCAAAATGAATAATACATGCATCAAGCAAACACAACTGAATTATCTTACCAACTCCAGTATATTATCATGCATTTAAAACTGTAAAATTAATCAAACAGAATAAACAGTGAATAATAACCAGTTCCTCCTCCATTAGTAACCTGTGATTAATTATCGAGATTTTCTAAATTGTACAAAATACCACATTATTTATAATTAAGGTTCAATTTCATAATAAGGAATAGAGTGAGGGATTCTTACGCGAATCGGTGTCTGAACATTAAACTTTCAGTTGCGTCTATTTGCGGTCTCCGAATTCCCTAAATTTTCCTTCGAAGATTAAAACACGCTCTAAGTACGTAGAAATACCCCAAAAAACTCATAACCGGTGTTAAAACTCTTTTCCGACCAATTTCAAAATTCTGGTATGGCGGCATTGCCGTGCTCCGGTGACGACACCGCCGCTTGCGGCAGCGGTTTGCCTTAGACTGGCCGTTTTCGACCAATCTCAGCTAATTTCGGCCGGTTTTGTACTCATCGCTGAGAGAAAATACTTTAAGTGGGCTCGGTTGGCCCAAAAAAATTGAAAAACAGAAGCTTACTGGAGGCGGGATTTTCCTGTGCGGCGACTCTGCCGGCTCACATTTGCAATTGGATGTTTTTTTTCAGTCAACCTGTGGGAAACAGAATAGTGAATATAATAGTGGAAAAATCGTACGAAACGGGAATCAGGGAGGGCCTCATTGAAGGCGGTTTTTTATTTTTTCCGTGGTGGCGCCGCTGGGTTTACCCACGGTTTTTGGCTCATCCACTGGTCTTTTTGCTCCGATTTGGTCATAGGAGTGTTCAAAATCAAATTTCGAGCGAATGAGAAATTTTTTTTTTTTTTTTGGCTATCGAAGGTGGCTCCGGCTCAGCGACGGGCGGCGGTCGGCTCCCTTCTCCAGCGACTGGTTCTTCTTCTCCGACAGGGGATTGGCGGTTAGGGTTAGGGTTCGGTATAAAGTGAGGTATTTATATCCGTCTCCCTTTAATTTGGGCCGTTCATCGTGTTTAATCTCAACTGTCCGATCGCGTTTAAATAGGAAATAAATCTGAACCGTTCATCGCGATTTGATATGAACTGTACGATCGCGCCTGAGGAGGGAACGGATCTTAACCATCCATGCACGTGGGAACAAATCCGGACCGTCCGATCGCGGGCATGCGGATTGCCAGTAGGGCCTCCCACATGATACCACGTCAGCGTGCCTTGTCATGCAGCGCGTTGTGATTCGTCGGGACTGCTGACTGAGCGGTCCTATGTGGCACATTTTTTCTAAATTGCGTTTTGACCAATTTTTTCTAATTTTTTTTTCAAAAACACCCCCAGAACTTAAATTTTCACTCATTTTTTCCAAAATTATTTTTAATTTCATTATCCACCTATTTTTTTCTAATTTTTACATTAACTAAAAATTTATAAATTAAAAAATTATATTTTATATATTAATTTAATTTTTTTTTAAAAAATTAATTCCGGATATTATAGGAACCATTGCATTTTGCCTCTTTGTTGTTTATCATTATTAAGACTTCAAAAATTTTTATTGGAAAAGCATCCATTTGAAAAATCTATTATAATATTGGTGAGAAGTGTTGAAGATTACTTTGAATGCAAGTCTTGTATTTTGATCATTGAAAAAAGTCCTGCTAGATACTCCTGTAATCAATTGAATTATGCTTTTCCATTTTTGTGAAGGTTTATCCTGGAAGACGAGCTGCTGGTATTGAGGCTGATATGATGGCTGCAAATGAACTTAATACTCATGCGTTCCTCCAGGTTTAGATAAAATACTGCATCAAATTATCAGATAGCATTGCTCCTTTACTAATGGCAGTCTTTTATTATGAGTGAATAAAGCAATTATACTGACTTGACCTGTTTTTGCAGAGCAGTTCCAAAGGTGTGTGCCAGAATCTCCTGATACTTGTTGGTGGATTTGAGACACAAACTGGGGAGCAGGTCTGTCATATGATATAAAGTATTATAGATAGTGTTTTTGGCATCTTTTCTGCAGAAAACTGACAGAAACTTATCCAGTGGCTTGCTTTTCGTAATGATGGAAAATATAGTGCTGCTGACTATGCTAAAGTTACGGGCGAAAAATTGTCAAAACGTTTACAAGAAATGACTTGGAATAAGTTTGAACAAGAGGAAACAAATAAGCGCAAGAGATTTTTTGTTATTAAAGTACTTTGTGGAGCTATAAGTGGTCTAGCCTACATGCACAATCATGACAGGTTACACCAGAGTCTTGGACCATCTTCTGTTGTTCTTAAGTATGTTCTTTAAAAGTATCCTTCTAAATTACATACATAAGTTTCTCTTGTTTTAACATCGGAATTTTTCTCTTATGAAACATTATCGTATTTTTGTTTGATTAATCACAGTACAATCGTGGAAAGAGATGCTGTCTATTTAGTTCCACGACTTCGAGATCTAGCCTTTTCTGTTGACATTAGGTACTTTGTTTTTCCTTTACTCTTTCTATTCTGCATGTTGTTAAACATAAAACAAATCTTTTCTCTGATTTTCAATAACATTTCCGGCATATGTTCAGAATTCTGTCTGCCTTTTTTTCAATCTGATGTATATTTTTGCCAAGTTGTGCGACAAAATGATTCACGTATAAGTTACAATAAGGTTTAAATTCTCTTCTTGTGCTACCTGGTGATATA